AGGGATGCTGTACTTTGTCGAATGCTTTTTCTGCATCTATCGAGATGATCATATGGTTCTTATTTTTAAGTCTATTGATGTGGTGAATAACATTTTAAATCCCTCATTTTGATTACGAATACTAACAGGCATCTGGTTTTAAAATGACACACAAGCAACTTTTTATAAACATACTTCTCATCAGGAAGAAAAAAAATGCTTTCTGTTCATTGAAGACAAGAACTAAAACTTTTCTTTTTCCTTTTTTTAAGTGATGAGATTTTTGCCATGTTGCCCAGGCTGAACACTGGGCTCAAGTGACCCTCCTGTGTCAGTAACCCAAGTAGCTAAGGCCAAGTACCTGGGCACTCCACCAAAGTATATTCTTATTCTTTAGTATGCTGGGGGTTGAACTCAGGGCCTCATGCATGTATGCATGCACTCTACCAGTGAGCTATCCCCCTAACTCCTTTTTTTCTGATTGGAAGAAATGTACCCAGATTAGCAGAGTTTCCTTTAAAACTATTAAGTATGACAGAGAAATGGATGTTCCAAAATCAGTTCATCAAAATAAAAAAAATGATGAAAACTGATTCAAAATGAGCAAAATTATGTTTCTCAATATACTCACACTTATAAACACTTGTTGTACTCAAGATTAGTTTAAAGTTTTTAAAACATTTTTTAAAGCAAAATTTAAGAGTCACTGTTGGAATAGTTACATACTTGTGTTAACTTATTCATGTAGGAAAAGATCTGTTCTACCTACTAATACCTCTACCATAAGACTGTGTTGGAGGTATATCTATTAGGTTAATACCTTGTCATCTCCATTCTTCCTTCAACTCCTGTGCTCCAGTATCAGATCACTCAAAACCTTCCCAAATATGGCATGCTTTTTCACATACTGATTCCTTCTGCATGAAATGTCTTTCTTTTCTTTTCCTATTTTTTTCTGAGGCTTTAGGGTCCATTTCCACTGGGAGGTGGTAGGTGAGGTCTTCCTTGAAATAATGGTTCACTTCTGTGCAAGTTACAGCATCAAATGCACCTTCATTACAGCAGGCATCACATGAAATGGACTAAGTTTACACTTCACTATGGATGTGTCCCTTTCTCAAGCAGATTCTACATTCTTTATG